CTTAAACCTTGTTTGCATAATTTACAGTAAGCTTCTGCACTCAAAGCATTGGGATCGGGATTTTTTGTCAACCAAGCTGAAAAAAAAGACAGAAAGGAAAAAAGGGTCAATCGAACAAATCAATTAAAAAATTGAATTCACAGGTGGCATTCAGGCTATTGGTGTAAGGACAACTGAGCACAATTATTGAAAATATAGGAGAAATGGATTGAAATGGATTGAATGAAAGTCCATTTTGGACAAAGTTCATTGAAAAGGATAATTCTTTTTTAAGGATAGTTATTGAATTAACTTGAAAATTAAACAAAACATAATTGCATATGTATACATGGGAAGTAATTTTTTTTTGTGACTGCTGTAAATTAATTTATCCAGACTCATCGTGCCCTGCTGTCCCTCATTTATTTAGAATGGATAAGTCAAATTATGCACCAGAAAATTCCGGTAATTCCTCCCATGACTTCTTGTAGTGTTTCTCGTACTTTCCGTACTTTCCCATAATGCTTCAAGTAAATTTTCCAGTTTAATCGATTTTGAATTTTACCAATAATAGAAAGCCAAGTTCTTCGCAATAACCCTTTCTCTACAGCAAAAATGCACTAATTTAAACTCGTTCGGACTTGATGTGACTCGCACTCTGTTCTCGTAGAAACAGTTGAAAGTAGAAAGGTCAAAGTAAGGGTATTGGCGCGAATTTGTGAAGCTCATCTTTAGTCACTCCAGTCTCCAATGATATATACGATCAGGGCGCCTCTTAGGGTGATTTCAAAAACAAACATGGGCCGGTAACTCAATAGACTTTTTTACCGATAAATTCATAGACTATCAAAACATATAAAAACGATAATTAAAAAAATCCCACATGATTGTAGCCCAATATTGTAAATATAAATTAAAAACAGCCCAAAAACGCCTTTTAATTTGAAAGTAGCCCAATATCGCCCGCTAGAAATTGAAAATAGCCCATTTAGGCTATAGGCTATAATTTTCATTTTAAACCGCCAAAGTGGATGTTCAAGTAGCCCAATCGGCGGTAAATAGCCTAATCTGGCAACCCTGAGCACTGATGCCAGGCGAGGGCGAAACCCCACCCCTGGGATTTTCGTGCGCCAATTTCTCGCGCACCCTCCTGGTCCCCACTACTGTGCTAGCGCCAGGCAAGGAACGCGCTAAAGGCTGCGCACTAGAACGCAACCGAGGAGTGGGGACGTGGAAGACCCTCGTTTGGCATAACTGCCTCAGTAGCAGTTCCGCTGTCAGAGGGACTAGCTGATGGAGCGAATATCATAACAGATTTCAATGAATATCTCCTCGATTTTTATGCTCCCCTGATATTTATTTGAAAATTTCGAATTTTTCAAATTTGAGTGAATATCTCCTCGATTTTCATACTCCCCTGATACTTTTTCAAAAATTTTGAATTTTTCAATTTCAGTGAATACCTCCTCGATCCTCATGCTCCCCTGATATTTTTTTGAAACTTTTGAATTTTTCAATTTCCGTGAATACCTCCTCGATCCTCATGCTCCCCTGATATTTTTTTGAAAATTTTAAATTTTTCAATTTCTGTGAATACCTCCGCGATCTTCATGCTCCCCTGACATTTTTTCGAAAATTTCGAATTTTTCGATTTCAGTGAATACCTCCTCGATCTTCATGCTCCTCTGATACTTTTCCAAAAATTTCAAATTTTCAAATTTTCGTGAATACCTCCTCGATTTTTATGCTACCCTGATACTTTTTCTAAAATTTTGAATTTTCAAATTTTCGTGAATACCTCCTCGAATTTCATGCTCCCCTGTTACTTTTGCAATAATTTCGAATTTTCAAATTTCAGTGAAAACCTCCTCCATTTTCACTCCTCTCTGCCTCAAACTGTGCGAATGGGCTATCAGCAGCACTTACTGCAAAGGTTCAACAGCGATCTTCGTAGCGGCGGCTACGGACCTAAAGCAGAGGCGGTATCCGTGAATAAGGCAGGGCACCAGGTCGATAATCGTTGGTCGGTATGCTATAACGATAATTTCTTCCATCGTAAGTCTTTGAAGATTAAAAATAAAACATGAATTTAATTCGTTAACTTTTCATTTTATCACAATTAAGGTTCTCAAAAGCTTAAAAATCTAAGGCATTACATTAACGAACAAAAAATGGAGAAATAAATTTATGTACACATGAATCTAAACGAAGAAATTACGAATTACGAAATGAGAAATTACTGGTTTATGTGGACAGATAAATGACGATAATTTGTGTTATGACGGTTTAAAATACAAAACACTTGTTAAACATTAAACACTTATGTAGAATTTAAATTGCTTTTTTTTTCACTCGCGTATTTATACTCTCAATTTTTTTAGAACACGTTAAAACTTCAGTCAAATTGCACGCCAACAATCGATAATTTTCGAAATTCTTTTTTGTAACATTTCCATTCTAAAATATAATTTCAGCCCAAATAACACCGAGAATTTAAAATTGAACTCTCTAAAATTTAATATTGCGAACTTGTTGAAATTATCCTAGAATCTATAAAAAGAGAATACGTAACTCTACATTTGTAAAACTCAGACTTAATTCTTCCCGAAAATAGCAGCTCTTTCACGAAATTGCGCACGCCTTGCTGCCTTTTCCTCTTCTTCACGCCGTCGTTCCTCCTGCTCCATTCGAATTTCATCTTCAAATTTGCTAGACTTTCGCAACTGTTCAATCTAGAAATCAAGCAAATATAAAATGTAATGTATATCCAAAGTATTTGGCTAAATTACTACTTGAAATTATGATCAATAGTAGATCGGGATACCGCAGCCGGAAAATTAATTAAGAATATTTTTCTAATTCACCTTAGCCTCGAAGAAGTTTTTAGCTCCAGTAACTCCAACTTCTTCGACATTCACTTCTGTCAATCTGGCTAATTGTCCGAGACCAGAATCCTGTTCCAATTCTCCAGCATGAGCTTTCCTGTAGATGAGCAAGAACTGAAAGCAAACAGAAAATGGTGAGCAATAGAAAATTCATTTAATATATCATGCGCTCCATTCTATCCTATTCCGAAAAAATCCTAAGGATATTCTTCATGAAATAAAAAATATCTGTAACTGTAATCACGAAACGAATAGAAATCCGCCGTTTCGCAGAAACTCCAGGGATAATATCCATAAAATTAGTATTTCCTTTTTCCACGAATGACCAACTCGCCATATCTCGCAAATACCGACCTATCGAGTTACCTTTACGATCCCCATTCGAGCAATGAAAATTTCTCCCATATAATTCACCACCGATTCCTCCAATTTACGATTCGGGCCACGTATAGAAGTCATAAAATTAATAACATCGTAATTTCCTGTAATTCACAACCGAAGACGATTCCATTGTTAACGTATTCGAAAATTTGATGCCACAAAGTATTGAGTATTGCGTTTCAGCGGAAAATGACGCGGTTGTTATGACATTTCCGGTTAAATTGAAGGTTTAGCGAGCATAAATACTCATTTTCGTACGGTGTCTGCCATTAGGAGAAAAAGTGTTCGTCGAGGCGTTTCCGTGAAATTCCCTCCATTCAATATCGAAAATACAGCACGCCGCCCACTTGAGGATCATTTTCATTTTTATTTAATGAGTGGGAACATTTGTTGCTCATAAAAATGTGGAGGAGTTACTCACCTCGCGAAACGAGATGCGCCCGTCCCCGTCTTCGTCGACTTCCTGGATCATGGCCTTGAGCCCCAAATGAGTTTGTGGTGCTCCGAGGACTTCCATCATTCTCTTCAACTCCGCGAGATCCAGAAACCCGTCCTTTCCGTCGTCAAACCTGCAGCAAAAAATTCCAAGAACGTCTTTTGAAATTCGCTCTTACACTCCGAAATCCCGCAATAATTCAAAAATTTTTACAGGAAACATTACTTCTATTTTTGATAAAATTAATGTCTAATTCCCAATTGAATATTCTTTTCACGTATTACCAGGAAAATTATGTCGCAATGGCCAACAATTTGAAAACCTTAATAATTCAGTAACGCGATAACAAACAGAGAAAAAATATCTCATGCTAATTAACCCGTTTGTCAAGACCAGAAAAGCGACAAAAGTATGCAGGTGGCACAGCATTGTGTAAAATTACGCAACAGAGAGTTCTAACAATTTTTAAACCACTACTAACAGGCAGTGAAACAGCTCCTAAGTACTCGTTTTTACCCCAGATCGAGGATTGGTAAGGACTTTCGTCATACCACGTGAGCAAAATCCAAAGTACAAATCAGTCAACTGTCACTCTGTCCCCAGCATTAATCTACGATAAACCCGACGACGCTAAGATAAATCAAATAATAAAAAATATGTGGAAAAAATTGAACTCAGTAAAACACATTTTATCGTTGTATATTTGTCTTCCTCGTTGCTGCAGCGATAAAAAATTGATGCCGCAGGTGACCCATGAACCGTGGATCTCGCGAAATAACCACTTGTAGTGAGTCACGGTTTTGATATTCCGCGTGTGCGACGCAGAAATTAAATTCGCATTGAGAATATTTTTTTTTTTTTCAAATTCCTTTTATATTGATTCCACTGCATTAAACAATTATCAGGACTTTCTAGTTTTCTCATGTCCACTTGATCCTGTCACCCGTCAGCTGTCACAGTGACGTATTTTCTCCAAGAACTTCTCTCTAGGTACATCCACAAATCTGATCACCTGACGTTTTATACCCCTTTGTTAACCATTGCCTTATTTTATAGACCGGTGTATGTAAGACTCTTTCATGGAAGTGACTAATGCGATATCGAGTGTGCCTGAACAGCTCAGCTGTATCGAATTCCATTTGTCGCTGCTGCTGGTCATACTCGGGGAGTAAAAAAATCACGGATAAAAATTGAAGAAGGAAAAAGGGGATTACAGTGTCGGTTCAGGCGCAGAACTCAGGCATGAGCATCCGCATCACTCAAAATGTCGTTCACTCGTATCTCCGTGATCGATAAATAATCCGCAGAGGAAACTAATATCCCCGGTGAGTTTGGCATTTATCCATAAGACTTCCGGTTTACCGCTAGATTAAAATTCATTATTTTATCCACATTCTGTCAAAATCGTGTCACGCAGAATGTGAAGAACGGTTTAATTATTGTATCTGTTCTCCGTATGATATCGTAATCTCATGACTTTCATCTGCGTATGACACGTCACATCTTTGAATTCCCCGCGCGTGACACCAAATTTTGAAATTCCCCGCGTGCGACACGCCTGCGCATGTCATGCCTGCGTGTAATATCCACGTTACAAATAGCCACGGCTTTTACAATATTGCGAGGGATGCGTGGTAGGTGGTTGAGGTCGACAAATACGTTATATCCAGATGGGGAAGAATAAAAATCAATAGACCTTGGGAGCCTTGAAATACCACTGCATACCATTGATTTGACTTTTATCCGTGCACGAAGGAATTTTTATCAGGGTCTCACAGCTGTAACTTTCATTAAATTCCAAATAATACGGCTTTCGTGCACACGACAACGTAATTACCCCACACGAATCCGTGAGGCGTCATGACCCCTCGATCAGTAATTTCTCCTTTGCGAAATTCTCGGGTAATTTTAGATCAATTGAATTCGGCTCTTCAATTTAATCCGTCATTTTCCGTTGATTTGAATTTATCGGAGAATTTTCAAAGTTACAATTGAGTTTTGCGGCAACTCTGGAGACGCCGGAACTCGGTCAAGGTGAACGAATGGAACTTTTGTCCTCTCGAGAAGGCTTTACTGCGAGGGGAGTATAAATCTTCAATGTTTTTTTCTTTGTGGGGGGAAAATAATCATTGTGAGAGGGAATTCCGGGGTTATAATGTAATTGAGGTAGTGAGGACGTCGAAGGAACCCAATTGGGTCAAAATCCGTGCACTTGTGATTTTTTTCTCGAGCCTTAGGGGATGCTGGGAATTTTAATTCGAATAAATATCACCGCGATGATTTAACTTAATTAGTCCAGCATTGATATAGCTGAAATGAATGTAATTGGTGCGATAGTTAATGACCAGTTGCCTGGGGTAATTGAATAGTTCTCGTATGGAAATATCGGCCTCAATACGCTTGAATTGTATTAATAAAAAAGTCTGCGTTGAAGGGGAAATAATTACTAGGATTAGGTATTGTGAATGCAACAAATGGAGCACAGAGTTCAGCTGAAACTTTTTTATTGGTAAATGTTCCTACGTTTTTCGATATATCGGAATCCAATGAAATTGCTCTGAAAAGTTGCTTTTCCATCGGAGAAACAGTCGTTCCAACTTAATTGAATATTTATAGATTTTTTTCCTGGTGCGAGGTGAAAAATACAAACAGCAAATAATACCTGTGGATCCGGAGGGAAATCTTACCGCCTTGCCACGATTTTCAGAACGTAACGTTCAGAAATGTGATACAGAGAGTTCACTTGATCTTTTCAGTGGCGATTGGATGACATGTGCAATAGAATTATGACGTGATCACAAAAAAAAAAAAATGAATAGCAAGTACATCCGGAAATGATTAGAGGATATTATATTATTATTGCTGAATGGTGAATTATTCATGCTACGACGAAAAAATTGAAGCGTGGATCTGAGAGATTATAATTCTTCCTTTCGGTAGGAGAATATAATTTAAAAAAGAGGAAAAAGCGAGAGTGAGCATTTGTCGGTCTGTGCCACTTGGGTTATGGGATATTTCCTTTTTTAACGCGCGATAATGAAAGGCCCTCGAGTGCTCGCGTTTCGCTGAATCGTGAAATACACCCTGGGTGTTACGTCTAGGATATTATGTTCAAGGGGGGATGCTGCAAAAAAAAAAAACATGCGGGCCTTTCTCGTTCTTTGTTATTACCTGTAGGGAGGATATCAAGTGGTGGGTATTTTTCTAAAATATTTTCCTCCACTCGCCAATTTTCTTTTAACGATAATTTACAACAGAAATATCTCCCAAATATGGAAGATGCTGATGCAAATCAATTTTGTTGCCAATCATACTGATTATTTTCTTGGCACAAATTTAACGGGTTGATTGACTGAATAACAAAAAAAATTTAAACATTTCTGTTGCAGATTGGAGAAAACAATTTTCTGGATTCTATCATCGGGGAACTTCTTCTCGAGGTGCATTAAGGAGAATGAGGATGTTTTAGAGAAAATTGATGCCGATTTTATCACTCCACGAGCATTATTTTTCCATTGAAGTCGAGCCCTGAGGAGATCGAACACTCAATTCCCAGAAAATCAACGTAACTGGCAGTTATCCACCGTTACCTGCAAATGGAAATAATGTGTAAGGTAAGGTATCGCTTATCCCTATCGATTCCACCGTGAATGTGAAAAATTATCGCCACAAATGAATAATCATCAGTGAAGGAGAAAATAAATTGCGCTGGCATGCATCAAAAATATACTTTCATTTTTTACTGAAGTTTGCATTCCGTGGAGGATGGCCTTGGCATCAGCCTGACATTAAATTCGAATGGCGTTTATGGTTGGCATTATGCCCCATGAGTTGGAAAGTAAAATTTTCTGTGAAAGGCGTAGACCAAATGATGTTTTACTATAATTTATGGGCTATTGAAAATTCCACCGCAAAAATCACTCTGGTACAAATCTGGGCTGAATTTAACTTGACACTGAGTGTTGCGTAGTTGCACTTTAAAATAATTCGTTGAGAATGCGAGGGAGTTTCCCTTTGAGGGAACCCCCTGGGGGAGATTTTCACGGTGGGGGTTGCGTTGATACTATTTTTATCTTCACTCCGATCTCGCTTACAGGAAGATTACGCGGAAGACCGCGTTTCAAAAAATGTATCGATGATTTAGAAAAGTATGGGGATAAATATGTCCCTGGAAATAAGCATTGAAAATTCAATTCTGTCCGCGCAATTGAATCATTCAGCTTTATGAATTGCTCGTAAGATATGTTAACCGATCATTGAGACAGATTTTATCACCGATATACGTGTAGAATGTATTAATAACGGTTTCTGATTTTGATATCACCCTGACACATTTAATGCGTCCGGACGTTTCGTTGGGGGGCGATCGGTATTCCAGTCGTGCGATTTAATATCGTGAATAACGGACCCACCTATTTACTCACCGCATGTTCAGCAGTGTTATTATGCACATTATTTTCAATCCCACAAATCCTCGATCATTCTCGATTCCCGTGACATACACGAGCAAAAAGTTAAGGAATAATTGCGCGACGTAATCGGTACATGAAAGCTTTATTTGGATTATTTTAATATTAAAAAAATGTGCGTGAGCGCATGCAGATAATTTCTGCGTTAACCGCGACAGGAGTTTGAGAAAGAAAATCGAGTGACGGTGTGTAGTCTATACCGTAAAATCGCGTGAAGTTTATAAACGTGGGATTTAAAGTCACATGTAACTGTCGCAAGATAAGCATGTGGCAACCGGTCGTTTCCGCGTGGAATCAATTCGAAGAGATCATTACGTGAAACATTACAATCAATTACATTTTCAGAGGGATTTATTTGTCGGTTAGAAGAATTATTTTACCCTTATACATCGAATTGAAAAAAATCGATTCATGAATCTGTTGGGAATAGAAAATTGAATATGAATGAATTCTTTGATTTTCACGTAAAACCCGAATTGTCATAACCATTACGAAATTTATAATAATTTAAAAAAACATGGCCCAAGTGTTTTCTCTCTGAATTACTGAATCAACAGCAGGAAATGTATCACCAGAGATAACAACACGTAGTCACAATTAAATATCAGGGAAACGATGACATTAACACTCTACTGTTTTTGCCCTCCAATTTTTACTCGTTATTATTTTCTCGTTAAAAAAAATTAATTTCCCTGAATTACAAAAAGCTTGAAAAATCGATATTGATGATAATTAATCGATTATTTGATTTCGGTTGAAATTTTTAAGCGGTCAGGTTAATTGTTGAGAGTATCGCGAGTTCGATACTGGAGCGACTCGTTCTGTTCTCAATTTATTTCTTTTTTCTTCCCCGGAGCTCCGGGATGGGGTCGGGAGGAGGGAAATATTTTGAACCGGCAGGTCCAACAATCCAAAGAGTGGTCAGGTAGGCCCAGGGACGCACTTTCCTACCTCGGCAATATCGGCTTATCCCAGCCACAAGAGACTCCAGGTGTTTCCTGGCAATACCCTCCAAGTACCCACATGTAACAATTGTAAGAACCAGGATCCGGTAGAATTGTATTTCCTCCTTTAAAAATACTGCACTGAGAAATTTTTCTTTTGACAGCTACACCAAAAAAAAATGTTACCACCAAAATTTACTGACTACAAAAAAATGCGTACGTTAATTAATGCCTCTTGCTCAAGCGGATTATGAATTAATAATTAATAATGGAAATATTTTTTAAATTATTAATAAAATTAAAAAATTCTAGAATCTTTTTAGAGGGATTTTAGACCGATACATGAAGGTTTAAAAAAAATTCATTTCATGGAATTCATATGTTGAATTATCGACTCAGTCAGGCGATCAACGAATTTCGCGTATTCGGCGGAAATTATATAAGCTAATCCAAACGAGTGGAGTGAAATGGGAATTAATAATGCAAATATTTCTGCACCCGAGGTAGAGCGATATTTCTAGACCAGTGGGGCTGTTGACCCCGGCAAAATATTTGGCCCGAATCGTCAAACCCAGTGAAATTCTTTGGAAATGATATAACCAGTGCAGGGATTGATGAACTCGTTCTGGTGTTTAATAATAACACTCGAAGGATAGAGCGACAATTGTGAAATTGGAACATAAATATTTTTTTCGTGAGTGCCCTGTTGCTTTGGTTCGGGACATCTGGTTGAAAGTGCATAAACAAGAGTAACGACTCTTGTTTATCCTCGTGGAATGAAATCATGGTGATTTTAGTAAACAAAGGCTGAGAAAAATAATGGCATGGGTTTCTGGCCAGCTGAGCTCAACCACATTTTATGAGACCAATAAAACGACTAACAAATAATTATTTCAAGGCAAAATCATCTTATCCATAAAGATATAATTGTTGTAATGAAAAAAAATTTAACAGAAGATATGCCATTGAATATCGATCGATCATGAGCTCTCACTTTTTCCTCTCCAGTGAATAATGAGGAATGTCCAATTAAGTAATAATCATCATTCGAACATGATCGCAATTAAAAGATATATTTATGATCACCTAATCGGGTGAAAAGTTTTCTCAGTTCAATTCAGGGGAGAAAGTGCGCGTGGAAAAACTAGCATGACACGTATCCGTTCGTCATTACAATTAATTTATACAGTTTTATCCTCTCGGTAAATCGATTACTGGGAATAATGATCGATTGGTCGAAAGACAGTGGGAAAATAATCTCGCTGATTCGTAAGGCAAACATCAATTCAGATTCGCTTTACCTTCGGATTAAAGTGGAACGTTAATCATCACTTGTTAGTACCCATTTGTAGACGGAAATGATAGTTTTCCTAGTGCTCAGATATTCATAATTTTCCTCATGAAGTAACCACTTTAATCGGCGCCTTCACTCTCTTTTTCCCATGATTTATAATTTTTTTTGTTCTTTTCTCATGGGAGAAATGGATGAGAGTGAATCAGGAAATTGCGTGTGCGATTATTTGAATTTACGGGTGAGATTTTGCAGAAATTTTAATAAAAAAATTGTCAAGGTGTGAAGAAAAACAAATTAGGGCTATTCAAGATCATTATTTCTATATTTTCCTCGGTATAAATACCAATTAAAAATTCACTAATTCATTCTTTCGAAACGAGTTTTTAAATATTGATCTGCAAGAAATAAATTCTTGGAATAATTTCCCCAATTTATTATCCGATTACAGCAGAAAGTTTGTCATTAAATTTTAATACCAAACGTCACGAATCATTGACCATCGATAGCGATCACAAATCAACGGATAAAGAGATCACGAATGACAGCTCATCATCTGGAAACGCTACCATAACAGGTAGTGGTACAAAAATACCTGCAGTGTCCTAAATTTCCGGGTGTTCTTGAAACCTCATAGTATACTATAATTATGAGAGAAAAAAAAATTGACTCACCTGTTGAAGGTTTGCTCATACTGCTTGATCTCTCGACGAGACAGTTCATGAAATTCCGTGTAAACATTGACGAATTTGTACTGTTTCTTGACTTCCTTGCCCTCCTCGAGCTGATCATTGATCTTCTGACGACGACTCAGGATTGTGCTGAGCTCTGCATCGGCGGGCATTTTCACCAGGTGATTTTTTTTTACCGGGGACAATTCAGTGACTGCGTCACGGCGCGTCTGGAGATTTTCTACGCGGTGACCTTGAAGCACGTGGTACCTGTCTATCGATCCAGGTGTTTCGGGTGTTAACGGTGGGGTTTGGATGCTCTGGAGGTGGTTTTTGGGGTTCTCCGGACAGACGTCACTCGCGGAATTCTCCGGAGGTTTTTTCGGCTGGGACTTGGCGGGGATTTTGGAGAGGAGCTCAGAGGATCTGACGTCCACACGGTGAAACGGTCGCGCGTGTACTGAGGCCTCAGCTCAGCTGACGCTTGACGGCTGACCTCCCGGTGCTCAGGGGACGCCTGCGCCCCTCGCTCTCCACAAAATTTCTCCCTTTTCCACTTTCTCCCCTTGAAAAATCCAAAACCGTCGGATTTTTACGACTCCACTCGGAGAAAAATACAGAAGTATAAAATAATAGAAATAATACTGAAATTCTGGATTAATTAATATTTTTTATATTTCGAAATTTGTGAAGTTCAAACATGAAAGAAAAAATTGAAAATTTTTTGATTACACAATCAATTTAAAATGGCGATATGCAAGACTATTGGGTGTCTCTTCAATCTTCGAGGAATTGAATTCCTAAGATACAAGGAATTCCGGAAAAATAATTCCGTCAAGTCAATGAGATTCAATCCACGATTTCGCATGGAGTGGCATGCACAAACGACGTAATGGCTCTTCAATAAAAAAAGGGAAATGCATTTTTCTGGAGAATGCGAGAGTTGGCTGGGAGTGAATAAAAAAAAAAGCCCGAGGATTTTTATTCTCGGGAGTATAATAGTTAAAGAACACGCGCCACGGGTAATTGTGGGTTCATTGCGGCAATGAGAAAGCACATGTTTTTTTTTTTCAATCCCGATTTTACTGTTTTCCGGTGACAACGCCATTGTTTCCAGGTCCTCATCCATATACGGATCACTTTTTCCTCAACAATTCGTCAATAGGAATGGGTGCAATTTTTTTTGTCCAGATCTCCGCGTGGGCGAGAGTCGAGATTATTTTATGGAGAAAAATTGTTTATTGTTCTGGCTCGTGGTGGAGTTTAATTTCCATTGAGTGAATCAGGACGCGCGACCATTATTTTATACAGTCGAATCTATTACTCATTTATGATTGTATGACTCTGCGTGAGAAGAAGAGTCATTAATGCAACGAGGAAGAAAGCGTGCTGGATGGATATCTTTGGAGGATGAAAATTATTTGGACATTTAATTTTGAGAAAATTCAGGAAACCTGGGAAATTTCCATCGAAATCCGTGAGCAATTGTCTGACAATTTCGTTTAAAAAAACGAAAAAAATTTCGACCTTTCATATCTGATTTGAGACTTTTTAAGTGAGTTATGATAACACGTAAGGCTACACTCCTTTACTTGATAGATAACAGAGAATCGGGTGACGTGGCTTAATACAATGTTGTAATCATGCTTATCACATTATTCACACTATCATTACAAAGTGAAAACGTGATAGACGATGAGAAATAAAATTCAAATGAAAATAATAACGCTAGGCTCTATTTTATGACGAGACGTCGGCATAAATGAATTAAGTATGAGGTAGATAACACGCAACAGCTGTTGGAATCAGAAATCTACGAGTCATTTTGGTAGACTCCAAACTTCTCGCATCCCAGAAGAGAATTCATGTATTGTCATGGGGAGGATTTTACGATGTGGTTTTCAATTGTATTCTCGGTTTTGATTTAGCACTGACTGCGGTCCACAGACGCATATTTCAGAAAGAATTGTCCTCTCTCCGCGTCCAAGAATAGTTTTTGAATTATTTCTATGAACTTTTACTTGTCGTGGGTCAGTGGGTGAATAAACGATGGAGGCAATAAAAAATTGCTATAAAATTTACAGTCGAAAAATTCTTGCGGTCTTGAAAATAAATTATAGACTGTTGAGTAATAATTTTTAAGACAATGGGGAAAAAAAAAACATCGAGAGCTATTCTAGTTTCATTGAAACCTCAATTGGTGACTTATCAATTTTCAGAATTTTTTATCAGCGTTTTCAACGTAAGAGTGAATTGTTATGAATTGTCCGGCGTATGACGGACGCGCGAAGAATCGATTGAATGAGTCATACTTTACCACCCCAGATGCAATTTTTATCTATTACACGACAGACGAGGGGAAAACCACCCCTTGCACTACGGCATGCAAATTATACGGCGAATCGGGTGGGCTATCTGTTATTTATGATCAGACACTCGAATTCGTGAGTCATGAATCGATGGAGTAGTGTCTTTGAATAAAAAAAATATTGCACCAGTACAATGTTGAATTGCAAATTTATTGTGTACCGGCTGTAGAATAATAATAATCAATAACAATTTGATCGATTTTGAGATTTTGAATTCCTCTCGAATTCACTCGAATATTAAATTCTTCGATCATCGCGCCATCCATACCGTGGGGTTGATACTAAAATTATTTAAGGTCTTTGCCTACCCTACGAGTCCACCAACTCTATCGTCTTTATGATCTCAAGTAATTCCAACAATTTCCATCAGAGGTCGAACTCCAAAACCACCCGACATCTTGGAAAATTGTGGCGTCTCGGAGTGTCGAAGGGTGTGAATATATTTCTGCATTATTTATCTGACAATTGTCATTTAATTAATTGAGCCCTGAGTGAAGGGCACAGGCGGTGACAATGGCTGAGTACCTGGCCTCAATTTTTGGTACAGAAAAAGACAAGTGAGTGTTTTTTTTAATTGATAAAAAATGGGGTTTCTCCTTATTGGTTATGATTTTGCATTTATATTATTCCATTTCAGAGTAAACTGCTCGTTTTACTTCAAAATTGGAGCCTGTAGACATGGGGATCGATGCTCCAGGATTCATAACAAACCGACGTTCAGTCAGGTGAATAAAATTGGGACTTTATTCCTGGATTTTTTTTATTTCATATAATTACCATGACTTCATTGTCAATTAATATTTTTAACCTGAAAAATCATTTTCGTCTCATGTTTCAGACTTGTTTGCTGCAGAACTTATACGTGAACCCACAAAACTCAGCAAAGAGTGCCGATGGCTCCCATCGTACGTGTCCAAACGAGAAATTATTTTATTGGTTAACTGGGTAAAATTAATGGACATGCATTTTGGATTTTTCAGTGGTGGCGAATGTTTCGGACGAGGAGATGCAAGAGCACTACGATAATTTTTTCGAGGACGTTTTCGTCGAGTGCGAGGACAAATACGGAGAAATCGAGGAGATGAATGTATGCGACAACCTCGGAGACCATCTCGTGGGAAATGTTTATATCAAGTTTCGCCGAGAGGAAGACGCGGAGAAGGCGGTTAATGATCTTAATAATAGATGGTTCGGAGGACGTCCAGTTTATGCTGAACTTTCGCCTGTTACGGATTTTAGGGAGGCCTGCTGTCGTCAATATGAGATGGGGTACGAAAAATGAGAAAACTTTAAAAAACTTCAAAACACCCTTAAAGACAAATATGTGCAAACTGACCAATAAAATATTAAATATTTTTTAATATTTTCCCATTGCTCTCGAATAACTGATTATCTTAATTACAGAGAATGCACAAGATCTGGTTTTTGCAATTTCATGCACTTGAAGCCAATATCTCGAGAGCTGCGTCGTTATCTGTACAGTCGTAAAAAGGGTGGAGGTGGTGGAGGAGGCGGTGGTGGAGGTGGCGGTGGCGGCGGCGGAGGTGGAGGTGGAGGTGGAGGCAGTGCAAAAGGACGCTCGAGATCTCGTTCTCGATCGCGCGGTCGCGATCGCAAGAGGAGATCTCGATCTCGTGAGCGCAGATCACGATCCAAGGAGAGACGCAAGGGCCGAGACGACAAAGGCAGGGATGGACGCTCCGGAAGATATTAACACATGATCGATGTCTCAATTCTCAACGTATTCCAGAATTTCATGATTACTTTTAATAAAAATGAATTTAATGAGTATGAAGGCGTATCACTGAAATTAATTAATCAATATCCTCCTGACCTTGCAATAATTTTTTTTCAGTGTCACAGATCGATTTAAAAAATAAATAATTTTTTTTTCCTTACGCGCTGTCGGTAAAGCAAGTGAAAACTACTGGTAAATCTTGAAAAATTAAAAAATACCGGCTGCTGAGTACTTGTGGATTGAAGTCATCCCTTGAAATCAGCAAAAAGCTGTATTAAATTCCGTGCAGATGGCGCACCAAGTGCAGTGTGTGGGTGGTGCATATTTTCCTTCATTAAATCACTCATTTATACTATCAACCAACCAATGTTGAATTTTTTTTCAGAGACGAAAAATGATTTTTCTTCAATACCTAACAATGAAAATTTTTTACAGTGAAAATTTTCGGGATAATTCAGATGGAGGATGTAATTTTCCATCGACTACTGCTCGTTTCACCCCTTAATATTAATTAGGTGAGAAAAGGCGCTAGTTAAAGACATAATATCAATCCTCATATGATGGATCAAATAGCCTATCAAGAAAGCGGAATGATACCGATTATTCTCCATGTCCTAATCAATTCGCCCCGCCGAAATGTCCCAATAAACTCCAAAACGACGAGTTCCATCCCTCTCTATGTATGACGATGATATATTCATAAATTGAAATACGAATGGAGATAATGAATCTCGGATATTCGGACGCGTGAGTGACGTGTCCTAGAAGATGCATTGAATCTGGCATATCACGCTGCGATATTATGTCACAATTCCCATATTCATAACCCTGACTATATCTCCGTCTGCATTTATCAGGTTAAATAATTCATGGAGTCATTATAAAAAGAGAGAACGAAGCAAGGGGTGAGTAACCGCGAGGCTGGCCAGTCTAGCTCGCGATAATAATTTCTTTCCATTTTTTGTCACTTCCCCGATTTTTGGCAGGACCTCATAATTTTTTCACAATTTTTTCATAATTTTTTCATGGTGAAAAAAAAAATGTTTAAAATCTCTCTCATTAACAAGTCAATACATAATTCAATTGTCAATTTTTCCCATAATATATTTTCCCGTTAATTAAGCAGAAGTTTCAGAGAATACGTGTGAGTGTCGGACTTGGCATTCGTGATTTCCAGAGGACGGTGTCTACTTTAAAGTACAGTGGCCGCTTCTGCATAAAGTTGGCGAAAGTATTTTTTCAGTGGCACTGAAAATCGGTGTTACATACCTCTCGGGATGAGAGATGAAGGCACTCGTGCCAGTGAACAGCCGCTCCTGAAAAAAAAAAGTGATAAAAAATATATTCGAGGGAGCTTCACTATTCGCCGTCCACAAAAATTCGTGTGGCTTCAAGTGTAAGTGGGCACGTGTCTCGGGGATGAGGCTAATTGGTGGGTTCCTGGAGCATTTTGGAATACCAGCAGGCCCCATCGGTCTTTTCTGCATCCAAGAAGCAGATGGCCGCTGTGATTGCAGCTGCCCCACCGGGAAAACACCTGCCGTTGTTACCGAGATGATCGAGATAGCAGCAATCACTGCTGGTCCTTTTTACGAGCCTCGGAATTGCACAGTGTATTTCTTTCTCTCCGAAGGTTTACGTAAACATCAATGAAATTTCAGACTTTATAAAGAAAAACCAAACATAATAATTATAAAAATAAGCATGACAGACTTTCGAGATATCGATTCGAGGAGTTGAATGCAAATTAGAGGGAGAGGCTCAACTCAAGACTTTGAATTTCCTCTAAATAATAAACATTACTGCGACTTTTCAATTGATTTCGTTGAATTCGCGGGATAAATACAGCAGCAGTATTTTCGAGGATTGAATAAAGCTGCATTTACCCCGGCTTCCATGAATTTTTCAATAATATTATTATTCAAATCATTTCAGATAATCCTCTACGGTGCAATATAATTTAAAATAGTCGATAAATTATTATTAATGATAATATTTCCCAGGACTCTGCAATTTAAAATATTTTCGTTGAATGTCAATGATCTCATAATCGTCATCCCCAGGCATTAATCAATTCCCTGTGAATAATTCAAAAAAGGGTTGTCGACCCCGACGATAAAATGATTCCCCCACCAAAAATTTTGATACCGAACGAAATATTTGTCACTGAGGGATTATAATTAATCCACCTGGCAGTTTTCCAGATAAATGGCGGAAGGATAAAAATTCACGGACAGAATATTGGCGCATTGTCTCGCGTGGCTGGACGATGGCCACGGGCACTTGACAGGTGGCGGTTTTAAATCGACACCCACGTGGTCACTATAGACTGACACAAAAACGAGGTAACGACCTGTCAAATGTCCGGTCGATCACCTGTCATTGGTCTAGTTTTCATCTGCCAAAATTCCGCGATTTCATTTTTCCTGAGAAAATGGGGTCATCTCGTTTTCAATCGAAAATTGAGGATTTCAATGCATTAGACATTAGACTTCTCGAGATTGAACTACGAGAATAAATAATTATAATTTCCGATTGAATCCCACCAGAATTTCAAAATAATCCGATTAATGCGTCAATGCACTTGAATTGATGAATTAATCGCGTAATGTTCTGTTAACGTGACAGGAAAAATGGGGATGAATAAAAAATTTCAGTCAGTTAAATATTTCACATGATGTATTTTTTCAGATCAATTATTACCACGCGTGGTGGAGTACTTGGGAAAGCTGATCAATACAAAATGACTGATCCCCGCTGGTACCTCACGAAAAATTATTTCCAATTTTTTCGTACGGTTTATAAATATCTGAGTGCCAACATCAGCACTTCATAAATAAAGAGGAACTCCCCGGTGAAAGGAGAGGATTCATTGCTGATGGAGGTAGTCTGTAAAATGAACAATGCGCTCGAATGAATAACGAAGATTTTAATGCAGTGGAGTTGGGACAGTAGAGGGCTACGTTTAATCATTTAATCGGGAGGGAGAGAGACTTCCTCTCTACTTCGTTTCTCGCTAAATTATACCGTCAGCGTCTCACCTCGTTGAGAGCACTCAAAAGGCCGGCAATTACTTTAAAACCAAGCTAGCAACTCCACTGCTTTAAAACAGCATAAGATCCTTTCACGAGATTTATATCCCAATGACACCGCATCCCCCATTTTCATTCGGATAAATCTTTCTTCCCCGATTATTTCGATTTAATGCCTCTAAATCTCATTTCTCACTGAGGCCGACATTTTTCCGACTAGATTTTTATTTCTTTGAGATTGTTCGCTCATTGAAAATTATCTAGTGTGGGTCGTTATTCGTTGGGTCACAAAATCCCTTGCACCCTATCCGATTCACCTGAGATTTACGTCATTTGAATTAACAAGGAATTTCAATTTATGGATCATTCAGAATAGAATTTCTGTTTCGTACTGAAGAGCTTGTCAAATACTTCACTCCGCATCAGTGCGTACATGCAGTGGAATAACGTATGCCAATAGCAATGAGTACTTTTCCTATACTCCATGTGATTGATGGAATCCTCTTGATTTTCAAATTTATTTTCCTTGCCTGTTCAACTGGCATTCTTCAATGCTCGATCTCTTCTTTCTTTAATGCTGTCTGATCCAATTTCCACTATACCCGCGCAATTGGCTGATGGATTTCACCGAGGATTTCATTATTTGTGCATTTGGCAGGTGATCCAATTTCCAATTAGCATGAAATATCGACCTCGTGTGGAGCTTTTTTTTTGCTGATTAAAAATTTGATGGGCATGAGACTAAGGGAATCGCTGCTAATTCGTTGGAGAATTTTTAGCGTCAGTATTGATTCGCTGAAGACGAGCTCACTGGGCAGCTTCTCAAAAAAGAAGCTGATGTTGGAGGTCTTGATTCGAGTGCTCAATTTCTAAGATGAACCCTCAAACTCTTTTCACGAGGTCAAGTGGCGGAATGAAGACGGAAGTGAAGGATTAGCTAAACAAGACGATGGGCCACAGGTGATGCTGACACCGGTGCTAATCCCTTCAGTCGACTATCAAATTCACCGGATAATCAAATATTTGAATATTTCCATCATTTTATAACGGAAATTGTCCTCTTCGCCGGTGACACCTGGGAAGATAATAAATGGGAGTGAATTGAGTGCGATTGCTTTATTTTCATTCCATTTCTAGTATTATTGTTTCATTGAATATTTTATGCTGTGAGAAAGGAATTTCGGGATTTCAAGATGATCTCGTGGAATTACAGACTCCGTGTCTTGGATATTTGCAACTTGTAATTCCATCGTTCTCTCGTGCCGTCGAGGTGTAAAGCCCCAATAATTATAACCTCCTCTAATTGAATTTTGGAGGTGGTGGAATTGAGAGAATTGATAATGATGGGAATTGGATTTGAATTTAAGCAATCTGGTGTTGGGATCAATGCTCTGTTATCAAATTAACTGGATCTCACCCGAAACAACCAAAAAGATGATGGAGAACTATTTTCCAGTGGTTATTCAATTATTCTTATCGAAATTTAATATTTAAAACTCGAGGTTCATGACATGTGTCAAGGAATTGTCGTTGTTTCAGTTAATTTTTTAGAATTAATTTTCATTTTAATTCTATTAGAGATTGGTATTCATGAAACAACAAGACCATTGATGAAAACACATGGACAACGGTTTGGAGACGAAGTAACCGTATTGTCAACGGCCAAACGGATGCACTAAAGCCCCCATGAACCCGAGGTGACGGTTGGCAGGTGTGTCAGTGGGCATTTAACAACCGTATGACCGTTTTACATGGTGCCCCCCAACCACTAGACCATCACCGGAGGTTAGTGTCCAGTGACTTCCCCTTTCGCACAGGTGAATCATAGTGATTGTACTTCATCACCCGACTGATGCTCCCCGTGTCACGTTCCTGACACCCATAGGATGCGCCAGGTCACGTCGACAATGACCGTAAATACCTCATCTCCGTGGGTAATTGCCACTTTTCAATTTTCCATATGAGTACATTTAAACAGTTTATTTTTTAGTTTATTACAAATTAATTTGGGAGTTGTGT